GGCCTACTTGTAATAAAATGAAAGTAAAATACACAAATAACATTAAGATTGTGTTTCTGGTTAAATAAAGCAGTAGTTGATGTCAAAAAATCATGAGTATGGTTTGATTTAAAGGTCAGAAGGTATAGCTTACATAAATAAAAATCACAAACAAGACGCTTGTAAATTAAATAATTTATATATATATATACAGATTTATTCATTAATGTGTAATATGTATTTTTTTTTTCAACCGGATTATGAAAACTTAAATACAAGAATCTCTAAAAGATTATTCTAAACTCTTTTGCTTTAGACCATCTACAAATGTTAAACATTCAAATAAAATGTTAAGGATTGCTTTAGTTATTTTCAAAGCTTTCAATGTAGTCTCGTTATAAAAGAACTTCATTGTTTTATTTAATTCTCAAAAGTACGTTTTTGTTAAAAACTAACCAAAATGAAAAATAATTTGTTTATAATCTCTGTACAGGAAAGACTTGGTGTTGTTTCCAAAGAAAAGGAAATATATCGGTATCGGCCAAAATGAGTTGAAAAATATCGGCATATCGGCAAAATCCAATATTCATGCATCGCTACTTATAGTCATTAATGATTTGATTAATAGAATTCACATAAAGATATTTATTTTGTGTGTAGAGTATCTCATTGCAGTATTCTTATGTAAAACAGCTAGAGAACTGATATACTTTATTGACCAAACGGCTTTATATCAGCAGCAATGGGAAAAATTGTGAATAAATTACACTGACGTGGTGCAGTAGTTATGCAACACAACAAGAAATGAAACGATGCCATAGACGCAAACCAAGTCCAGGCGATTATGGTGATAATCACAACTGAAAATTGAGATACCTGGATTATTGTGCGCTTTAAAACACTTCATTATTTGCATAATGGCAACTTTTCCTTTTATAGGTCAGAACACAATTATGCATGAAAGTGAATTTATGTCTGTTATGCATATTACAATATTGTGCAATAGTAAAATAAAAAGAATAATACATATTACTGTAAAATTCAGGTTGACAGGGTAATATGGATACAAAAGTTGTCCGACCCGTTTTCCAACAGCAGCACTAACTAGACTAACCAAATGAAGTACAGAAATATCATTAGCAAATCACAAGTCCGTCGTACATGGATCCTACACAACAAATACGAGTCACAAACAAATGATGTAATATAATTTCATTTCAGATGGATCAGGAAAATAAAGTGGGTTGAATCCAAGGAGCTCTGAATGTCGTGAATTAGTCTCCACGTGACATGAACAAAACAATTAAATACTTAATTGCAGCTTTTTGTATGACAATGTATCACCACCCAAAATGTCATGATCTAACAGCCCTAAAATTAGTACCACAGCTACACCTGTGTCTTGCGATTCAGAAAAGGTAACACACATATTTATGTTGTTTCTGTAAGTGGAAGGTTGGTGTCACCGAAATGGAAGAACTTCAAAGGCCTCAAGCTGCTGTGGAGAGACAAGATTCGCCTCAACAACGCTATTTGGAGAGCCTGGTATATGCAATGTAAGTCCAACCCCTAAACACACAGATTACTCAGAAATGGTGAAACGAATGCAATTGGTGATGTCCGTCTGCAACGCCTTGTGTTCTGCAGATGTGGAGAAGAGACAGAACCCTGTGTGTCATTTTGTCACTCCTTTGGATGGAAATATGGACTCGGGAGTACATCGGCCAACAGAGGTGTGTCGTTTGACTATAGAAATATTTTTCTGTTTCTTCAGATCTGAAGGTCTAAATACATGCATACCCATTTTTTTTTTTTTTTGAAGAATTTGCAGCTTTCATTTCTCAGGTCAGATCACGCCTCTTCATGCCATGTTTTTCTGTTAACTAGGCGATCGCTACAGAAGGAAAGTACTGGAAAAGGAGAATCGAAATCGTGATCAGAGAATATCATAAATGGAGAACATATTTCAAGAAAAGGGTAAGTTTATTTGCCCCCACATTAAACTTTTAACAGTGTAACTTATAAAGTATTGTCACTTATTATAAACCAGATAGTTCCAGTGCTTGATTCTGATTGGCTGAGCCGCTTTCGAAGCTGTTGTAAATGACTCTACAAAGTAACATACACCTTTGTTTACGTTTGTCTGTTGCTCGGCAACCACTTTGTTGCAACCACAACTGTTTCTGAGGAACTACATTGTTTGGTGGAAGAATACTGTTTTTATTAATATCATTTAAGCCCCGTGAAGCCGTGGTTTACAGTGAATTTATAACAGCTCGTGCCTAACAACGCCCCTTAGCTGTTATAAATTCACTGTAAACCACGGCTTCACGGGGCTTACTGCTTTATTTTAACTTGTTCAAATTCATATTTATAACTACTTATAAATATGTTATTACAGTTGCATATTTATTATAATGTACACATTCATATTTATAGTTACAGAAGCACAAGGATGAAGACCTGTCCAGCCTTCTCAGGGTAATTTTAAAAGGAATATTTTAACATTTTTCGCTGTAGTTGATAATGCTTTGAATTTAGCATCTAAGGGAAGTGTGTGCATGCATGCCGTTATTGCAGTTGTTTTGTTTTATTTGTTACACTAACTTGTTTGCAATTTGTAATTTATTCCTATAAAAAGATTAGCACTGCCTAAGAGAGTTTAGTCAGGCATATAGTCTCTGTACTGTCTTACAATTTAGGAAAAACAGTTGTAATTACCTTAGTTTATATATATATATATATACACACACACACACACACACATATCTATATATAATGTGTGTATAATAAGGAATTGTAAATGGTTTTAGTAGCATATTACAATTAGGGGTGTGCGATATTGACAAAGTATATCTTAATTTTTTTTTTTTTTTTTTGATAAAGTAATTAAACAATATTTTGCTGAGTGTGGCTTTGTGCTGGTACCTTGATTAGTTTAAGCCTTTCATGGATAAATAAATATGACACTAAAACCAACCAGTAGGTGGCAGCAAGTCTCTGTCTTAATGAGTGAATGAGTCATTGAATCATTCAAGCGATTCATTCAAAATGGCTGATTCATTTAGAAATGAAGCAAGTGACTGTCTTTTTGAATGGATTATTGAATCATTGACTCAAATGATTCTTTCAGAAACAAAACACTGCAGGGTTTCTCTGAGGTGCACAAATGTTCTGCTTCGGCTTGGTTTGGAGCTATTTTCATTGGCGAAACAGAAAAAATGCAACTCTCTCAATATTAACTAATTGTTCATTGAACTGTTGTATAAATGTAATATCATATTTGCGATCATGCTCGCGTGTTAATATTTAGGAAAACAGCTTGTGTGATATTACTCAACTATAAAGATATAAAAAAACAAACCCAAACAAGGGATATTTTTGGCTTTCGTAACTTGAATTATAGTGGCATTCTAATCGGATTCATCACTTATATAGGCTTTTGTACTTTCAAGACATGTTTTTGTTTGTTTTTTGCAAAGTGAGTGACACTCGATAATGTCAGCTCGCATATCGTTAAAACAGCAATTGCAGATGGTAAATATCGCACACCCCTAATTACAATATAGATTATATATTGTGGTTTAGAAACAAAGCCCCTAAGTGGACATGGTGATGGACAAAAATATGAGATGGGAGGAAAAATTGCATCTCAATGCTTTTGCTCATTCCCCTTTGCATCCTCTCACAAAATTATTGCATAACCCCAAGAAATTTAGTGTGTGCTTTTAATCATCACCATGTCCCTTTAGGTGCTCTGTAAGTTTAGTATAGTAATTGCATAATGGTTGTTGAGCAGGTGCCTTGTTTAAAGGTTGCATCGTTCAGTTTCTTTTGTGATTGTGCTCAGGTAGGCTGATGTTGAGGGACATTGAAATGGCTTTGGAAAAAGTTAATTTTGACTCCTTGTTGACTGTCTTGGGCAGTCTTCAACTGCTTTTGGTCCAAGACTCTAGGCAGTGGAAAAGAACAAGACCGATGATTATAAGACTGAAGGTTAGAGTGGAGCACAGAAGGTTTGTAGCTGTATTTGCATGAAGACAGGACATGTACAGTATGTCATATGGATAAAGGCAAAGTTGATAAAGAAGCTCTCAGTCAGAGCCAGATCATGGAGGGTTGGCCGGCTAGACACGACTGGAATGAAGTCAGTTTATTTACAGCCAAATGGCATTTCCAAAATCTGTTTGAGCCTGTAGTGAATGACAAGAATGCATTGGAGATGTTTGTCAAGAACTGGAAGAGGATATTAAACCTGAGACTGTCCACATCTATCCACACAAATACTTAGCTTTATATTTTGGACTATATTTTGAAAATATATCAGCTTTCGCTTGGATCGAGTGGACACTGCTTGTGGTTTAACCCAAGGGTGCTTCTCACAAACTCCATCTGTGCAAGCGCTGTGAGTTGCATTTTGGAACCTGCATTTGGGAACGCAATGTGCGCTATGCTCACTTTTATATTCACATTTGCATAATTTCCATCATTTTTTTGTGCATGGGAGATTATAGCATTGGTCAATATTCTGCAAAAAAAAAAAAAGCATTGCATTGTAACTTTTAGTGTTGGTTGGTTCTTGTAAAAATGGAAGGAACTATTTGCATCAGAATTACAGAGTCTGCTGTTCTTTGAGTCTGGATGTCTCCGCAGTAGAAATATGAGACATTTTCACATTAAATATAAATGTTAAATATGGCAGTGTATGACAAAATATTCATAATAAGTCGTGCAGCCCTGTATCATGTTTGCATACATGCCATGTGACTAATAACCAACATCAGAGAACCGCAAATGCGTCCTTAAATTCTCTAAATATTAACTTAAAATCGCAGGGGGTACTTTACGGTGTTTTAAATTTTGGTTTAGCCTGTAGAGCAAAAGGATTTTTAAAGAGACATTTCACCCAAAAATGAAAAAATGCTGTTAATTTACATAATTTATTCAGTAGAAAAGTAAAGAAGATTTTTACTTGGTGATTCATAAAATGTAAATCAGTGGCTACCTGTTTTTGAGAATTAAAAAAAGCATATCAAGGAACATAAAGTTAATACCCGTGGCTCCTGACGATCTTATGAAGCGAAACAATTGCCTGAGCAAGAAGCTGAATATTATTTACAACATCATTACGTGGATGTTTTACATGCCTAAAGCATATAAAGTCTTAAAGAAAAAACTAGTCTTAGAAACTATAAAAACCTTCATTTCACTGGTTCAACTAGTTCACCAAAAAGAACCAGTTCAAAAGAATGATTCATTCGTGAATCAGACGTCACTCCGGACCGTTTCTTGCACAGATTGATTGTTTCGCTTCATAAGACCGCAATATATCGTCATTTTGTGTTTCTTGATAGGCCTTTTTATTTTTTTAAAAACTGGTAGCCACTGATTTGCATTTTATGAATCACCAAGGAGCAGAGTTTCAGCTACAAATCTTCTTTACTGTCCTACTGAATAAAAAAGTCATCTACATCTTGGATGGCCTGAGGGTGAGAAAACTAACAGCAGCACATTTTCATTTTTGGCTGAACTATCCCTTTAAGAAACATAAAGTGAGTAACTTGTGTCCTAACTGACTGGTAGCTTGATGCTTGCATCTGTCTCTGCATGCACCTTGAGTGTGTCTGTTGATGGCCTGCTTGTTGCATTTTGACCTCCCCAAGGGTGCGGAGGAACAGTTTTCTCTCTTTGGGGAAGTGTGTCCAGACACTTCTTTTTTTTTTGCTGCTTTCCATGGAAACCATGATGCAATACCATTCAAAACTTTGGTGTAAGTAATAAAAAAAAGTATTCTTTTTATTCAGCAAGGATGCATTACATTAATCAGAAGTAACAGTAAAGACATTTATAATGTTACAAAAAGTTTCAGTTTCAAATAAATGCTGTTCTTTGAACTTTGAAGAATCTTGAAAAACATGTATCATGGTTTCTAAGAAAATATTAAGCAGAAAAAACACATTTGTTGTTGATAACAATACGAATAATTATTAATAATTGAGCAGCGATAATAATTGAGCAGCGAATCAGCATATTAGAATGATTTCTGAAGATCACGTGACACTGAAGACTGGAGGAATGATGCTGAAAATACAGCTTTGATCACAGAAATAAATTACACTTTAAAATGTTAAAATAGATATTTTAAATTGTAATAATATTTCATATTATTACAGTTGTATTTTTTGTTTTTATATAAATAAATGCAGCCTTTATGAGCATAAGAGACTTCTTTCAAAAACAAAACAAAAACAATCATAATTATTTCAGACTTCCTTACATCCTTACATCTAAATCACTCTTTTAGCTGTTCATTTTGAATCAGTGAATTAGTCAAATAATTTTGTGGAACATGATATCATAAATCAGTCTGGAATCTGTCGGAGCAGTTCGAGAGTTAACCCACTGGATCAGACGTTTTGTTGTAATGTTGTTCAAAGGTTTTTTACTATTTTGTGCTTTTGTAACTAGATTTGTTTCACACCCTGCGTCCGCCAGCCTTCCCCACCACTGCCCCAGCAGTCACTGCCTTAACCAGCAGCAGCTCCCAAACACAGGTAACCACCCATTCACCGATTCCTACTTTATATGCACTTCCTGTCCTCCACCACCAATGAACAGCTGCTTCATGATAATTATGAAACATTGTAACCCATTAGAATGATTACAGATTATGCATAACTGACCATGTCTGCGTAGTCTAATTAATACTGTGCTAAATGTTCAAAAGGATCGTAAAAATTGCATGTTTTTAAGTACTGCCCATGAATAAACCAAAGCAAATTTACACAAAATACTTTACATACACTTTCTTAATGCGTGTCGTTACCTGGATAATCCACAACATCTGGGACTTGACATATGATAGTTGTTCAAAACGTTTATTCAGGGCTCCAGACTGCAACCATTTTTTCCATTTCCAGCACTTTAAAGCTCTAAAAATGATCCAGTTTAAATGTTATTTTTAACGGGATGACCAAAATATACTTTGTGGTAAACAAACACTTATTATAATAAAAAAACACATCAAATTACCACTATAACCAGTAGATGGCAGCAGAGGAGCACTTATTGTCTTATTAGTCATTCATTTCTACTTTTTGCTTTATATTTTGAAATTATAAAATCACTATTATAAAATATCAAATCATCAAAAAAATCTTATTTTGTAAGAGTTTTGCACTTTTTGTGTATGAAATAAGAAAAGTCACAAAGTGCCTTGGAAAAAAAAACTTTTTTTCGAGTTGTCGGTCAGTTCAGTGTAATACTATAGAAGAATAATGGTACATTTAATAAGAGTAGAAAATGTTTATTTTCTACATAAAACTTTTGCACATGTTACTGTTGTTAATAAATGTAAATTTTGTTTGCTTCCCAATTCATGAAGATCTATCACAGAAACGTAGCCACTGATCATCTGGCTAACGACACACAGTATTAAGAATCAAGTGAATGTAAACTTTGTAACATTTGTGTAAACGGAGTACTTATTTTGTCTGTGGACTATATGTACACATCTGTTATGTAAAATAGCTTATTTAGGGCAGCACTAAATAAAAATAAAAAAAAGCAATTTTAGAAGTCTAACATCTGTCTTATTTTGTTAAAATTATTAACATTTTACAGATTCTGCAAGGTATATGTAAACTTATCACCGCAACTGTTTTACTAAAACATTTTATAGTGAGGACTTGCATGAACAATTATTACTGATGACGTAAAAGTAATTTTTTTAAATTGTAGACACTATTATAATATCTGTAACGCTTTCATGCCTACAAGTTGTGACGCAAGAAGGGAGCGTAAAACTAGCATACTGGCACAGTTCTTTAAAAGGCCAATGATCAAATAAAAACTGCATTAAATCCAACGCAGGCTCACTGGAAAAACATGCCTTTACATTTCTGCAAATCTCCAAAAGTGTGCATTTACATGCATTTACTGCTGTTTCCAACTGAAATGCACACTAGCGGCAATAAAACACCAACAACTTTTAATAATTTTCACACTAATTATGAGTGCAGCAATAGATTACAGATCAATAAAGACATTTTCACACGATCTCTTAGCGAGGAGCACATGAACTATGACATGATGGTGGACAGCTTTACAGTGATACCAAAAGGCTTTTAATTTGCTAAAAAGCTATGAACTGTCAATCAAATGACAGAAGGCGTGTAGTAAATTTGATCATGATAATTTAAGCATTATAGTGTTAAGTATTAATGTATTGTATCTTATACCGCAGTTCATACAAATAATAGCAAACATATTGCAGATATTAACTATATGTGACCCTGCAGCACAAAAGCAGTCTTAAGTCGCTGGGGTATATTTGTACCAATAGCCAACAATACATTGTATGGGTCAAAATTATCGATTTTTCTTTTATGCCAAAAATCATTAGGACATTAAGTAAAGATCATGTTCCATGAAGATATTTTGTAAATTTCCTACCGTAAATATATCAAAACTTAGTTTTTGATCAATAATATGCCTTGCTAAGAACTTCATTTGGACAACTTTAAAGATGATTTCCTCAATATTTTAAAAATAAATTTCACCCTCAGATTCCAGATTTTCAAATAGTTGTATCTCGGCCAAATATTGTCTTATCCTAACAAACCATACATCAATGGAAACTAAGCTTATTTATTTATGCTGTATATATCTCAATTTCATAAATTTGATCCTTATGACTGGTTTTGTGCTCCAGGGTCACATATGGTTTATCCCTACTTGTGAGATACAGTGTTTGTTTGTCCCAGACAATGGTGTGCTCACAAGAGAGGTCTGTTGTCTCTGTGAGAGTGAGCTGATTTTGGTGTGTGTTGTTTGTTAGGCTCCCATGCCGCTCTCCACTGAGCTTCCCTCTCTGCCGCTGGACTACCATCTCATCCCTTCTGTTCCTTTGCCCAGCCACCTCTCAGTCGCCAGTCAGGATAATGGTAACGCTGTTGGCCCGTCCTACCAACAAACCTACATGCCTCTTTTCCCAGAGCAAGTGACCCCCTCCATCCCACCGCCAGCTCCTCCTGTCCCAGCAGTCCCACAGCCTCTCCAGTGTGGAGGTGTTTCCACCGTCAATACAGTCCCGAGCGTCCCGGCTCCGTCCGTAATCACGCACACTGCCCCTTCCACAGTAACTCCCACTGATGCAGCCACCACCTTCAGTCACAGATCAAGCTTTGAGCTGCCCACCGCACCATCTCCACAGCCTGCGGTCTCCGCCTCACTCAGCTCACAGCCGGTCAACTTCGCCTTGCCCAAATCCATTCTGCCTCCTGTCTCTAGCAAAAAGGCCAGACATCCACAGAGACCGATTGTCCCGCTGCCATCTCCTCAGCTCATACTCACAGGTTTGTGCCTCTCCTCAAAGCAGGCTTTCTAACATGCTCACGCTGCACTGTAAAAACATAGAAAAAAAGAGGTAGCTGTGGTTGCCACTAGAACCTTACTGTAAAAAGTACGGTAGCAGTATTTTCAGTTTTAACAAATGTAAATGGAAAATGTGTGTTTTACAGGTTGAAAACGGTATATTTCTTTATCTAAAAATATGTTAATATACCAAAATGCTATAAATGTTTTTTTACATTTATAATTCACTAGGCTTAGGCGGTAGTCAGTGTTACTGGTGTTCGCTCCATACATCATACAATTATTTAGGGGCGTTACGAATCTTAGTTCGCACGCATGTTTAACCATCGCAGAGTAAAAGTTTATCGTTTGCATTTGTTTTTAAGTCTTGCCAATTTAAACATTCAAGTGCAAAAAGAGGCTAATTGTTTCGGTAATTACGCACAAACTGCGTCAGACAGTGTGCAAACACAGAATTCGGTTCTCTTTCACATCTCCTGCTTGAACAGACACAAAATGATGTATCCTCGTAAACAGACTGTAATGTCTTAAATGAACGTAAGCACACAGAAATCGGATGTGTATCAGTCTATAAATGGCTGCTGCAGTCTTATAATTTATGTTAAACAACAAAAACAAAGATTAATCTATATTAAATTAATACAGTGAACACTATGCAGTGTTATTTTGCACTTAATTATTACATTTCTGTACTTGAATGCTACTGTTAGACCTTATTTTAATTGTAATTTGTTCTGTTGTACTTATCTATTATGTTTGTTCCTGTTTTGTTACTGATCAAACTGTTCACTGCTAGGCCAGTAGTTTCTGCTGTGGTATCGAAGAAGTACTTGGAAAGTAAAGTTACTTTTGTTTCACCCCACTAAACCCCCCCTCCCTGTTTGCTGATCCGAAAAAAGACTCAAAAACCGTAAAATATGATCCGAACCGTGAGTTTCGTGATCCGTTGCACCCCTAATCACATTACTTGTCCACCGCCCCCATCCTCGTTTTGCTTTTTTAAATAGAAATACCTCTTTAGTTCAGTTGGACAACAGATGCTACAGTTACAAATGGAAAGCATCTGCTCCATAATATAATAGTTGTCTAAGATTTACAAGAGTTCATCACAGCTTTTCCACAAGCTGAGGTGAATACTAATATTTGGAAGGAACCCAGTGTCATACGCACACAAAACACCATCACGGTAATGCACACAACACTAAAACAATGCAGTGAACGTTAATTTAACAACATAAGATACATAAAAGCTTAATGTGCATATAACTGATTAGAAAAAAAAAACTTCGTGTCGTGCCTAACAACGCCCCTTAGCTGTTATAAATTCACTGTAAACCACGGCTTCACGGGGCTTCTTGCTTTTATAAAACGGTTATTCCATATACGTAGTAAGGTTTCACAGAATAAAACAGAGCAAATAAAGTGTAATGATATTAATAAAAACTGTATTCTTCCACCAAACAATGTAGCTCCTCAGAAACAGTTGTGGTTGCAACAAAGTGGTTGCCGAGCAACACACAAACGTAAACAAAGGTGTATGTTACTTTGTAGAGTAATTTACAACAGCTTCTAACGTGGTTCAACCAATCAGAATCAAGGACCGGAACTATCTGTTTTATAATATAAAACGACTTCTATGAGGCGTTCTCTTTACTTCAAAAACTATACATTTAACAGTATTTTACCGTAAAATTACATGCAATGTCTCAGATGTATTAGTTTTCACCATGTAGAGTAAGGAAACTTACCTACCAATGAACAGGTTTTTACTCTAGCCTTTTTTGCAGTCTTTTACTGTTAAAATGACTATCTTTTTTTCTTACACTGGACATGTGCAAGGTGCCATAAGATGACAGACCCTCTATTTCTGCAGTTTTTATTTTTAAGTAATTAATGGAGAAGACCTCTCGCTATCGGTCATTTATTTCTGAATTAAATCCAGAGGAGAAGTCTAACAAGTCAATCACAAAAGTCAAAAAAAGTTTTTTTTTATGGAGAAATTGAATATCGTCTTTGCTCAACAGACGAAATAAGCGAAACGCCATCGTTCATAGAAAAGCAACGTCAGCAGCGTCTTTACACACGCAAGATTGTTTGCATTAAGTGTGTGTGTGTGTTGCCTTCTGTGTTTCGTATGCAGTTTGAGAATGGCAGCATCTTTTGTGTGAGTGAAGCAGTGCAGAGCCCTGTCGCTTTAATTAAGCTGAGAGTGTCATCCACACAACCTGCAGAACCTAATAGCTGCACAAACTTTTATTTGTTAATGCTTAAATTAAGATTAATTACCCTGTTTGGCAGTCCTAATTACGACACACAGCAACACAAGCTGCTGATCTGCCACTGAGGTACAAGTTCATCTAATAGTGGAACTAGAATGGATCTCCAAACATCATGCAGAAAACTGCAGTAGGCTTTAAATGTGTTCTCATCCTATCCGTCTCCCATCATAACCATTCCCAGGTCCCTCCAGTGCTGTGATTGTCACTCAGTCCCCTCTCAGCGCTGATGTTGTCCCCAGCACTGGTATGGTCATTGCCCCCTCCAGTATTCCCTGTGTAAGCCTTTCATCCTTCATGTCCTATCCTCGCCGTCTGTAGAACAGGGTTGTGTACCATTCAGAACTGATTTGAGAGAAATGTTTGAATTCCAAATAAATTCGAATCGAGGTAGCAGAAAGAATGCTGAATTGTAATTCAAATTAGAATTTAAGAAAATAAATAAATATAAATAATTTTTTTAAATATAATTCATGCACTGCTGTTCAAAAGTTTGGGGTCTGTAAGGTTTTTATTTCATGCTTTTTGTCTTTTATGCTCAGCAAGGCTGCATTTATTTGATCAAAAGTTTAGTAAAAATTGTGAAATATTACAATTTAAAACCGCTGTTTTCTATGTGAATATATTGTAAGATGTAATTTACTTCTGTGACACAAAGCTGTATTTTCAGCATCATTACTCCAGTCTTCAGTGTCACATGATCTTCAGAAATCATAATAATATGCTGATTTGCTGCTCGAGAAACATTTCTGATTATTATCAATGTTGAAAACAGTTGTGCTGCACAATATTTGTGCTGCGTAACATAATGTGGAAACGATACGATACAACGAAATGATACATTTTTTCTGAGTTCTTTAATAATTAGACAGTTCAAAAGAACAGAATTGTTTGAAATAGAAATATTTATTATAAATGCTTTAATGTAAGTTTTGATCAATTTATTGCATCTTATTTACTAAATAATTAGTAAATCAGGGTGCATGGCTGTGATGTAAACTAAGGGCCAGTTAGTTTTTTTTGTAATATAAAATAGACATACTATTTTTTTTTTTCTTTTTTTTTAATGCCCCATCCTAATTTCCTAGCTCAATAGAATATAGGTCTTCTTTAGAAAGAAAACTGCTAACCAAGCAGCTTCTTGGGAGTCTTTAAACAGAAAACGTTTTCATGCCCATTTTTCTATAGTGCGCATGTACAATTTATTTGAATTGCAATTCAGTAAATTCCTATAATTCCACCATTCTGTTTGGAGTGTGGTCTGTTCAGTTTCTGATTCATAAATTAAATGGGAGTCAACTCTTACATTTTGAATTCTGCTCAACCCTGGTAAACAATAATTCACTTTACCCCAAGCAATGCATAATTACAATATAAAAAGAAATCGCACTGCCTTGCAGGGTTCCGCTGGTTTTCATATTCTCCCTCAGACACAGAAGTCGCCACAACTAATCGTACCCAAAGAGGAAACTGCCACAACTATATCCAACAACAAGACATCCGTACAGTCAGCAAGTACAGGTTCAATTCAGCCCGATCCCCTTTGTCTTTATCGTGTTTCAATGACTTGAGGATTCCTGAGAAAGCTTCTTTTCTCTGTTTCTTTAGCACATGACGGACGAGTCTCAGGTCAAGGGTCGCCTCTGGGAGCAGAGCAGGTCCCGAGCCCTCAGTCACCCCTCAAACCCTGCGCAGGCAAAAATGAAGCCAGTCAGGTATAGTTCATGATATTACACTCTACCATGGTTTTCCAAACCGATGTCGATTCAGCAAATGTAAAGGGTTAATTTACATCTTTCAAAGCAGAGTGCAAATGTAAACATTTATTTGCACATTAAATTATTGCACAAAATGATGTATTTGATCATTATTGCAATTAATGGTCCAGTGGTAATTTATGGAAAAAATAACACATGCAAATGATTAACGCTGGATGACGACTGACTGTTATGGAGCCTATGAGAATGCAGTTATAAGATGTGAGGGCAAAAATGCTTCTGTATGTTTTTTTTGTTATATATTTATATCGTATGATGTAGTTTATTAATACCACACAAGAGAGAGAGAGAGC